GAAAAGCAATAAAGACATGCCGGCACAACAGTAACAAACACAGATTCGTGAAGCGGCACTAGTCAAAGCAAACGGAGAAGTTGGCAGTTGCACATTTGGAGAATCAGATCATAATTCAAAGGTATTTCAAGTATGAAACGCACCTATACACATCGATCTTCGTGGTATAATCAGCTGTGGTACCAGTTGTTGAAAGCAGTTCGGGTGCGATGTAGAGAGCGGTGCCAATGTCTTTGGTCATCGATGAGTTCACATCCGAATCATTCAGGACTGCCAACTTCTTGGAGACCATTTCGCGTGTTGCAAGACCAAAATCACCAATTTTGGCGTGATCATTTCCATCAATTAGTATATTCATCTAAAATCAACAAATTTTGTGGAAACAATAAAGGAAGACATTTGCATTTTCAAATCATTATGTCAGGCAAACCACATTAAACGGTAAAGAGCTTCTCATACTTTTGCGGTCAATAACAAGGTCACTGCCGGTGCAATCGTTGCTTGGAATGCATTCCTACTTTTTATGCGTTTTGTGCTGTGTAACAGCAGTACAAAACGCAGTACAAAACGTAACAGCAGTACAAAACGCAACTTGTCCGCAAGTTTCAACTCGGAAACAACAAAAGCCAGGAAGCTGAAAATTTTGGGGAACTTTCCCACCCAAGTGTGACCCCGTAAATTTAAATGCACCCTCCCCATAAAAGGCACGGCCCCGTAAAAGTTTGAGCGGATAAAATTATTATCACGGGAAACACGGAGGCTAGGAATGTGAAATTTTATGGGCATGTCCCCTGCCCACACACGACTCAGAAAATTTAAATTCAGCTTTCTCCTGCCCGCGGGTAACACGAACGGCCCCGTGAAAATTTTCGCGGGTAAATTGTTATCTCGGGAACCACCGAATATACGAAGCTGAAATTTTAGTGTAATAACCGCCTGCCCATGCTCGACCTTGCCCATTCAAATCCAACGTTCCTGCGCTTCCGGGTATCACCTACGGCCACGTGAAAGTTTTGGCGGATAAATTATTATGTTGAGAACCACGGGATCCAGGAAGCTGAGATTTTATGGGTATGTTCGTTGCCCTCGCGTAACTTAGAAAATTTAAATTCAGCCTTCTCCTGCCCTCGGGTAACACGAACGGCTCCGTGAAAATTTTTGCGGGTAAATTATTATCTCGGGGACTACGGAATCCAGAAAGCTAAAATTCTGACCCTCCTCCTACCCACGTACGACCTCGCCAATTCAAATTCAGCGTTCCTACGCTCTCGGGTATCACCTACGGCCCCGTGAAAATTTTGACGGGGAAATTATTATCTCGGGGACCATAAAAGCCAAAAGCTAAATTTTATGGCAATGCCTTCTGTCCAAATACAACCCTACAATTTTAAATTCAGGTTCCCGCGCACCGGGGTATCACTTACGACCCCGTGAGAGTTTCGGCGGGGCTGTGAAAATCATTCCCAGGCAATTTTTCGGTGAACGGAATTGCAAAAAGCGCATGATCATACCGACTGCCCTGGTGCGCCGCTGTTTACAGGTCTGGATACTTCGCCGGAAGAGTTTGGTGGATTCAAAATGCAACTTTTGTATGCAGTTTTTTCTAATTCCAAAAACTACTTCCGCGTGCTGTAGTATCTTGTCTCCCTACTCAATCATCTTCTCCCCCTCCCTCGCCCTCTGAAGAAAAAAGTATACTTTGATTGACAAACAATTGTAATCACAGTTTCTCAAAATTTTACGAACTTCCTCAAAAAAGACAAAACCGACCGGCTTGATGTCTCGATGAATCATGCCTTCCTGATGAATGTATTGCAATCCAAGCAATATTTCACGGAACAGACGCCATGCTTGTCGCGGATTTCTCAAAAGTTTTGTACTATCAATTAAATTTCGTAAAGTCGACTTTTCACAGTACTCCATTTGAATGTACAGAATTCTTAGGCCTGATGAGGATGAGGTTTCCACATGAGACTCCGTAGGTGATGTGGAGGCTTCATCGTTACCATCATCTTCATCGTCGTCACAAGATTCATTATCACCTCCATCCTCAAATAGCACTTCCTGCAATTAATATTTTTGTGCGAACAAACAAAACAAATGCTAAACAACTGAATTTCACCCATTACAGAATTTTACAAAAACACTTGTTATCCGTCAGCGACATGCGTTTTGTGCAATTCAGCCCATCGAACGATTGCCTATTAATGATTTTCACTGCTCTGTACTTTAATCAATGCAAAAATAGTTCAAACATAGGAAAAGAGTTAAAAATTTCACACACCAGCGCACGAAAGCTGAATTCGAAACCTTGAAAGGTGAATATCTTTCCGTAATTCCCGAGTTAATAGCTTACCCGCCAAAATTTTCACGAGGCCATAGGTGATACCCAAGAGCGCGGGAGCGCTGAATTTCAATGGGCAGGGATGAGCGTGGGGAGGGGGTCATTAGCCCAAAATTTCAGCCTCCTAGACCCCGTGGTTCCCGAGATATTAATTTACCCGTAGAAAACTTTCACCGGGCCCCACGTCTTATCCGCGGGTACGGCGAGGCTGAATTTAAATTTGCCGCGTCACCCGCTGGCCGGGAAAACTATACTAAAATTTCAGCAGCCTAGCTTTTGTGGTTCCCAAGTTGAAAGTGCGGGACAAAATGTGAGACAGACACACAGAGACAACCACGTGACAATATGCGCTTTGTAACGCTGTTACACAGCACAAAACGCATAAAAATCACTTCGTTAAAAGTGAAAACGTGTGGTACATGCGTTTAAATAAGCCACCTGTTAGCTAAACTAACCACGACTCCTTTTCCGAATGTTGCTTGCAAGCTAAAGTAAATTTCCAAAAGAACCTAAAAATGCAAGAAAACTGAAATCAGTTTCCCTGGGAATTCAAAATACATTTTTTAGCAATATGAAACCGATTAAAAAAAAAAAAACAAAACGCCTACGAAGTCGGAACTTTCGATGGCGCTAGGAGCGCCTGCAGAAAACAGTGTTTCTACTGGCACTCGTCGCACTTCTTCCGAAACTTGCTCGTGTACACGCGAAGCTGTCGGCTGAAACGATGTGGACCACTCGGAGGTTGCGTCTACGGCTAGCCGGTTTGCCATCTTCTCGATGTTTCTTACTTGTAACGGCATCAGTGAGTCTAAAAAAATTATGTGTGCAAGAATGCATGCCAACAACTCTTTTATTTGAGCACAGCAACATTTTCAGCTTCAATCGTACTCCTTATCTTTTGCAATATTTTGTAATTTTTTGAGACAAACAATAATAAATAGCAACGCGCACCAGACTAGCCGGTGCGATCATGCATTTTGTGCAATTCAACCCATCGAACGATTGCCTATTGATGATTTTCACTGCTTTGTACTTTTGTCTATGCAAAAATAGTTCAAAAATTGAAAAATAGTTAAAAATTTCAAGCACCAGCGCACGAAAGCTAAATTCGAAACTTTGAAGGGCAAATATCTTTCCGTGATACCCGAGTTAACAGTTTAACCGCCAAAATTCTCACGAGGCCGTAGGTGGTACCCGAGAGCGCGAGAACGCTGAATTTGAACAGACAAGGTTGAGAATGGGCAGGAGGCCATTACCCTAAAATTTCAACCTCCTACACTCCCTGGTCCCTGAGATATTGATTTACCCGTGAAAAATTTTCACGGGGCCGTACGTGTTACCCGCGTGTACGGGAAGGTTGGATTTGAATGGGCAAGGTTGAGCGTGGGCAGGGAGTCATTACCCTAAAATTTCAGCTTCCTGGACTCCGTGGTTCCTAAGACATTAATTTACCCGTAAAAAAACTTTCACAGGGCCGTACTAGTTACCCGCGGGTACGGGAAGGCTGAATTTAAATCTGCCGCGTCACCCGTTGGCGCGGAACACTATACCAAAATTTCAGCCGCCTAGCTTTTGTGGTTCTCGAGTTGAAAGTGCGGGACAAA